TATCTCAATCGTCACCCAAAACAATTTCAGAATCACATACCCATTTAGCACCATCTTCGACCACCAAATCGATCTCCAATTTCGGTCCTCTGAAATATTCCGATACTAATAAAACATCTGATCGCATAAATATCCTCAATATTACATTTTAATCTCTATTTTTCAACTCAAATCAAAATCTACTGCTCTTTTCTTAACCATTCAACTGATCAAATTGTAAAAACTATCAATAAACTTAAAACCATTCCACTAAAATAACAACAAACAATGAATAATCTTCAAAAAATCACCCTTCCCTGACAAATTACCCACTAACTTTTCATCCAGATCACCCAAATAAACTCAATAAATTACTTGGATTACCCACCAAATTACCCGGATCATAAATTACCCAAAAATCTCCCTGAAAAACTACCCAAAACCTCACTTTTTCTGTTCCGGTTTCGTCAGTGCCTTATAGAATGCAGAGCACTGCTTATATCTGGTGGCCGCATCCAACAACCCTCTGAAGTGAATCACATTACTCGTATCGATATACTTCTTCANCTCGTATCGATATACTTCTTCAGACCATTCGTCTGCGTTCTCTTTATCTGCAATACATCCACAACTATTTCACTGTTCATTCCATTCATCCCACCCAAAACCACAACCAAATTGTTGCCTCTACACCATTTATTATATTGATTTGTTTTGCTAATTCAAAATTCCCCTTTTAAAAAGTATTTTCTAAGTTTTTTTGCTCTAAATAACAATTCACAAATTACTTCTTTTCACTGAATTCATACGGAAAGTAATAACTAGAATGATAATAAAAAATAACACCTATAGATCAACAATTTCAACGAAGTGATCGAAGTTGTCGAATCGATTCGACAACTTCATTAAACAAGCCGATAACTTTACGATAGTAATAATAATAATAAATAATATATATATAAGTGTCCAGAGTAATAATAATAATAATAAATAATATATATAATAGTGTCAAGAGTAATAATAATAAATAATATATAATACTGTCCAGAATAACAATAATAACAATCGCAAAATAAATATCAAACTTCAAATATAACGAAACCTCACTTCATTAAGGAACTTCAGCTCAGACTTCAGTCTGTTCTTGACCTTACTCGCCCCGTCCACA